CTATTATAAAAAATAATCATACTGTTAGAGTTGATCCAAGAATTCACGTAATTACCCCCTGGATATTTTCCCGTGAAAGTTGTTAGGGGCTGCCTGAACCAAAAATGAATTTAGTAATACTGAAACTGATAATGTTAGTTCCAAAAGGAAATTTAGTTTGTCTTACTTCAACAACGAGAATCAGATCGTATAAAGGTGCTACTCAAACCTAAAATATTGATTTCGATATTGAACATATGGGGGAAGGTCTTGAGAGACAATGTCCTTTTTTGATGAAGTTTAGCTTCAAAACGCTCTATGCTGTAGAAGGAAAATATAGTGTTTTATTAAAAGTGGCTTGGGGAACTAATCTTGCCCTACCCTTCTGTTGCTAGAGTCATTTGCTGAGACATGTTATCTTCTTTTAACTATACTGCTAAGGAAATCTCATCATGTTTCTTATTGGAATGAACCTGATCTGTTTTGGTTTTAATATTTTACCAAGTGAAATTTAGTCTTCAGTTCTCAAAATTTGTTTATTGGTTCTATTGGGATAAAAGGCTACTTCCATCCCGCACTTGCTCTTGCTGTTATCTGTAAAGTGTAAACTTTTGGCTGTAAACTACTTGTCCTATCCTTTGCCAGAGTAAAAGACCACATCAACGCCGTTGTTCGTGATAACACTTTACCCTGCGTTTTTTGTTATTAAGTTACTATCGTCATCGGGTCTTTTGTATTAAAGATCTATTTCTTAAGACTAGTGACAAAGACTGGCGAACCAGCGCTATATTCACGGTCTGCCGACTAAATCTGTCTACTAAGCAAGCTTATTAGCTTTCAGTTGCTAAGTCGTTTATATGCCTGTTACAGGTAATAGTTGGCATCGTTCATGCGCTATTGTTCTCAGCCAAGTTGCTTTCGTAGAATAAGTGTGAGCAACATTTTTAACAAATTTTAGGCCAATTCTACCCGCACCTACTGTGTAGGAGATGTGGTATTTCCAGTTTCGCTATGGCTCACCATTTCTCTCGAGTTTCTTGGTTCGTATTCATCAATCCATTGTTTTTCCTCAAAATCTTAGGTAAAATGGCTGGTATTCACATTAATTGACCTCTTTACACGTGACTGGATTCGACTAACAAGTCAGAAGTCGCAGCAGGTCTGTAAAGAACATGGAAGTGACACTGAAATTGTAGAATCAATACAGTTTATATTACTAGACACCGTCACTGATCCATGAGTGCCATTATTGTTTTAAAACAGTTGTCACCTTAGCTGCTGGATTGACCGCATTATGTTCAACTGGTTTCCCTTTCTACAAAAAACGTGTTGGTATATGTTTTAAGACATAAGGTGAGAGGAACTGCTCCCTAGGACTGCTGCTTTTGCGAAGCATGGGAGAACAATCAGCTACTTTTTTTTGTTTTTAAGCAATTCCAAATAACCGCCACTCCGTTATTACGGTACGGAAAGGACAGCTAAACTGATTCCCACTTTTTCACGGAATGTCGCTAATGCTGGCGTAAACCTTATGGTGGTCTTGAGGGTGTCCGCCACTTCAGGTGGAAATAGAAGAATCTACTCCGTTATTTGCGGTCAGTGAGTTCCTAAATACAACTTCCGCTATCGCGTTTTCTTTGGATAAGTGTTTTCTTAAATTAAGATGAGCCAAACTTGGTAGAAGATTAATGTTATCTTGTTGTTTGATACCCATTTCACCCAATTTTGTTTTTTTTCTTTTAAAGCTTTTAAAGAACAGCGCCTCCCGATAGACCTCGGCTGTCGCTGCAAAATGAGCTCTATCGCACTGTTACTGGTGTAGTGCTTTCCAGTTCCTGCGGCGATGTTTATTTTATAATCGCAAAACGAAATTTGAGATCATTGGCTTGAAATTAATAAGAGGTTTAAACAGCCTAGTTTCAGTCCATCGTATGATATGACCAAATAAAACCCTTCGAGCGCTTGCGGCACTTTCGACATTGTTTTTATTTGTTTCATAGTTTTAGCTCTCAAGAGTGTACTGTATATCCAAAACTTAAATTTCACGGTTTTAACTTTCGTTGTAGCCTTTGCCGATACAAAATAAAGTCAAGTGACGCAAGACTGATAGAGGTTTAGAAGGAAAATTGCTATCTACACGGCTATGCTCGCACTTTGGGACTGTACCGCTCCGTCAAAACGTTCCCGCCAATGGCTGCCATCGGCTATTTCCGTTTAGCAGTGACCCACTGTTATTATTATCGATTCTCGGTCTTTGACCGGGTGTTATTTTCTGAGGAAAAACAAATGAAAAAGCTTCAAGATGAATGTGGTTTAGGCCGCTTAATACAGGAAATAGAACATCAAATTTGGTCATTTGGTTCGTAATTCAGGGTAATGTCAGTCTGAAATTAAAGTCGGTTGTCTTTTCCATTTTATCTTGGCAAGTATGAAGATTTCAGCTTGCCAGGGAACAAAATATATTGAATTTCAGTTTTACGGTACGAAAAATAAACGTTGATCTGACAGAGGTTCCTGAAGAAAATCTGAGTTTCAGACCCCTCCCCTGCGGGTATCCAGGAAACCTCTGTTTGATTGCATCAGTAAGAGGAATGCACTGTGCAAACGGGCCGACTGTCTTCTTATTTAAAACAAAAATCATTAAACATTTAAAGTGAGCAAACAAATGACCAAGGAAGCCAAATGTATGTTTTTCTTTCATTCTGTCTCGGATTAATTTATGTTATTGCTGTCGAAAGCCGGTTCCGCGCTCGCAGAGCAGTTCGTGAACCACAGATGTATTTTATAGCTCGTCTCTTATCGCCTCTGGACATTTGTTTGTTTGCGCGGAGGGAGGAAAGGATACTCGGGTTTCAAATATGATCATGTGGCTTTTTGGAGTTTCCGCTATTACCACTCAATTGAATACACAAAGCTTGACTGGTTAAAAGCCTCGAGTTACCGGAGATTTAATACGTAGACCTCCAGTCTCCTGAAAACAAATTTCCTCGTTTTAAACTCCAAGAGTGTGTCAGACGTTTTCTTTACAGATCAGTTTGTGCATTAATTCTGTTTCCATTTCTCCTTAAGAAAATAGAAATCGTCCTCTGTGTGGGTAAAAATATTACTAATATGTAGAATTACTTCCTATGGGAAACATGGTACAGGGGCTTTTTCAATCAAGTGCCTTCGATTATCTTCTCGATTTTCGATGCTGGCTATCTGTGTGTTTTCCTTCATTGCTGTAAAAACATTTCACTTCGCGGTCGATGAGTTTTAACATGGGACCCAACTGTGTAAGCATCGATGCTTTTAATTCCATTCACTCTGTTTTGCGTGCATCAAAACCCAAAATAGTAGCTGCTGTTAACATGTGTTTTGACATGTGCTTGGTCGATAAACGCTATTCATCGCGTACAATGCATCTTTTGTGCTTTAATTGCTTTATTTAAAGAGACGTGAACGCAAGACAAAAGCGCTAGATACATGTGAATTATGATGCTTTTGTGCGAAATGGACGGGATAAATAAATAACATTTTCGATCGAGAAAAGGGCGCGAGATGAAGATAAAGGCCCGTTGTGGTTTGAACCTCCTGGGACGCCAACGCTTTTACTGGCTTAACGCCACTGGCTGTCGTCGCGAGAGATTTTGACGTTTGATAAAGTGTGTGTATTCACAATCCCACACGCCCGAGTCACGAAATTGTAAAAGTCTCATCGGTCGGAGAGCGTGCTTTACATTTGAATAGCGTCCCTCTTCTTTTCTAGGGTCGGTCTTTTGTTGGAACAATAAAAAACTCATTACCGTTGTTCGTCCCCCTTTTTTCTTTTCTTTTCCCACTTGTTGAGTTTCTAAAGAAAGGGCGAAAGGTTGAGCTTCGCATACATCTCGCGCAGCGCGGAGGCCTATCCACCCGATCACCTTGGACCTTGACTGAAATCGTAATGTATATAAACTGGAAACCCAATCTTTTTATTGCCCAAATTTCCTTCTTAAGCACCGCTCATCATGTATTATTGTAAAAATAACATTTTATTAGAATATCCTTGACTCGTCGGGCTTAACCGAACCGAACGAGTCCGTATTTGTGAATTCAAAGTTACAGAATCTGTCGCTGGGATAGATGATGAACAGGCTTCTTTGCTCGTCTGGAGGGTGTAAAATAAAAGTGTTTTTTCAACGGAAGAGAACCTTAAATCTGGACTCACGCATATACAATGCAGAGTGAACTCAATGTACTTAACTATATTGTGGGATCTCTTTAATGGTTTTCAATTTCCTCAAAGTGATATGGCGATATTTGAGAAGATGCCCGGGTGTAAAACGAGAAACCACTGAATATATTTAACGGGACATTCAAAGACTTGTAGAACGTAAGGTCGTGCTGGCTTAGTTAACAAACTAAACTGACTGGCGGTTAGGATTGTTTGGATGTTTATTTTCATTCTCAGTGTTCAGGAATACAACGTAGCGTTTCCGTGCGTCCTTTACAAGAAAACGAGTAACCAACTGCGTTCTCGTGAGAGATTACTTTACAAGATAATATAGGGAAGTATACATGGTGAAATACTTTAAAGATGAAAACAAAAGAAAACGTTTGTTCCGTACACATAATTTTGCTTAAGATACTGCAGCTATTTTGCGTGTTTTTGTTGTTGTTGGAGTTCTTAATTCGTTGAAACAGAAACTGGTGACGTTTTGAGCTATGCAATTCTGCCAACTTCGCGAATGAATGAAGTCATCATTATGTAACAAGAAGTACGTCGAGCGAACTCTTTTCCTTTGCAAAACTTATTTAAGTTATCGTCAAGTCTAATTATAATATAGCTGTACATATACACTCTATGCTAAATATCTTACTCAAACGAAAGAGATATACCTTGGACTGTGGAGTTTTGTAAAGGCTTTGGCCAGTAGACAGGAAGGGCGATGCGTTTTGCCAGCTTTTAATTGATAAGCTGCAAACTCAAAACACACTAATTACAGATTGGCGTGTGCGTGATCGAGATGTAATTCTAACTTTGAAAAGCGCGCTGCTGTCTATAGTCCTACTAGCGAGTTTGTTAATGTGGTAAGCATGTGATTCTCGTGAAGTCCATGTGTAAATTCAGTGGCCGATACAGGCGCCATTGATTCCTGCGACATCGCGGCCATAAGCGTTGGATCGTCCACCTCCAGTTTAACTGGCACAGGCGTGTGTGACCCTGTGATATGCCCGCCATTCATACAGTGGGAAAAATCGGGAATTCCGCACTTTTTAACGTCGCCGAGCATTGTCTGCTTCTCAGGGTTCAGCATCTGCTTGGTTCTTATATCCACAGTTGATTCTCTGCTCACAATCAACAGAAGCAACGGTTAGGACATGATAAACGAGCGCGAACCCCCTTACACTCGCTAATGCGCGACTTCTGACGTGTAAACGTCAACTTGTTTCTCGTCCTTTGTTCATTCTAATCCCAAAAGTGTCCACGTTTCTTTAAACAAAATCCTAAATTTTATTTTACCAATAGCGCAAAACAAAAGAAGTTTGTCTTGGAACAGTTCACTAAAAGTTTCCCAGTGTTCGCCATTCAGGATGACATCATACGGTATATAGTACTAAAATTTAACAGCTCAGCGTCTGATTGCATTAAATGCTCGATATTAAATGGGTAAATGCGTGTTTCAGGCCCAATATTATTGCGACTTAGTACTTAGTTTGATATCTGGTGATAGGCTAAGCCGCAAATATCAGACTGAAGTATATCTCTGCCTTGCCGACCGGCTTTTCAACATTTGAATGACTCGCGCGAGCCATCACCCATTATGATTTTTCCATCACTTCAAGAGCAGGGTCAGACCAAATCGTTGAATATACTCCCGTATCCGCTTCTCTTTGGCATAAAAAGGTCGATCAAGGAAGAAGCGTGGTATTGCTATCGATAATGTGGTCAGTTCATACACGCACATAGATTGTCATGAACTGATATATATGTATATTTGATGTGTGCTGAAAACGATCCCCTTTCTTGAAGGAAAATTTAATTTATGAAATGAACAGCTAGTTACTGTTTATGTCGCTATATCAACTTCCGACCCTCAAGAAGCTCAATAAATATCCTAAACAAATCTTAAATTTGCGAGAGGAACAAAATATACAGACAGTCCAAAAGTGTAAGCCCAGAGTCAGGAGTCGTGCATGCCTTCTCGGACTGGCTAATTTAGTGTTGTATGACAAACTAAGCTTTTTAAAGTGATTTGAGGTGAAGGTAAACGTTTGTGATCGTAAGCCATAAATAGATGGCAAATATCTCTCGAGCGAAGGCTTACCTAATTTTAGCTTCCGCCGCTCGGTCTCGTTGCCTTCGATTCTTGAACCAGTTGCTAACTTGTGTTGTAGTTAGACCTGTTGCCTCGGCCAGTTCTCTCTTTTCCCGAGGTGACGGGTAAGGGTTGTGCGAGTACCACTCTCTCAATATGTTCCTTGATTTCTCTTTGAAACAGTAACTTGTTTCCTCGCCGTCCCAGATCGTTCTTGGTAGAGGAAATTTGCGTCGAACACGATACTTTCCAACAGCTCCTAGAGGTCGACCGCGGAGTTTCTCCGCTTCGATATAGTGGGCCTTTAACCACAGCGACTGTAGCTTAGGATGAGAGCTCGGTGAAAACGAATTGTTTTCCAGGATACGATACAGTTCTTGGAAGTTTCCCTGGTGAAAGGAAACTAAAGCTTTTGCTTTTAGCACGCTCTCGTTCTTCTGGATTGTTTCGCATTCTGGAAGAGACCACAGAAACCTCCCGAGGCGCTCTATATCTCCGCTCTGTTGAAGGACTTCACAGACGCACGCCACTTGCTCTGGGGTGAAGCTGAAGGTTGGCAACATTCTGCGTTGCTGGGATCAGTTGTGCAGCAGCGGCGGGGTCGGTTTATCCTTTCACGATCACTTCTTTGTATTGTCTGTTTGTCTGAACTTAAGACGGCACTCGCACTCTTTATAGCTGCTTGGAATCAAATTGCACACACAGTCAAAAAGCAAATGTCACCCAGAACTGATCAGGCAAATTTTCATTCACTGGCGTGACAATGTCATTATTAAATTAAGATTAGAACTTGAACCTTAGTCTGTGATTGGTCAGCTAGCGCTATCCAGATGGTTTATATTTTCTTACGAGATGTTAAATCAAACACCATAGAAACAATGTCAATCCACTTCTTTGCGTTTTCGAAAAAGGCCACTTCCGCTCAAACACGGGTCCTTGAGGAGAAAGACTCACCGCCGAGCGCCAAATGCAATTACCTTCGATTCGCGCCTTTTCAACTCATTAGTGGCTTTAATGAAACGCGCCATGGTGAAACTCGACAAGTTTGAACTTGGTAATAACTGACTGCGAGTAAATTATGTTTGAAACCCAACACACAGATCGTGTTTCTTTCCCCAGCGACTATTTGTTCGGCCACTAATAAAACCGAGACACGAAAAAAGTAGCACTTTAATGTTTACGTCGAGCTATTACCCCAAAGATGCTAATTTAGAAGGCTAATAATGTTATGAGAGACGGGCGCGAACAAAGGCGCTGTTTGTTGATTTTTCGAATTTATCGTTGTGGACATGACAGTCAAACCAATCAGCGAAATACATATTAAACAATAGCATGTCTTCCTTGGCTTATCCAGGTGTTAGCCAGATTGTTTCGTGGACATTTTGCTTTTCAAGACAACAGTGTACATTTTCCAATGGAACAAGAAGTTCCTTTATACATGCACTTCGATGTCCTTTTCGTTTTCTATCTCAGTGTTTCCGCTTGTCATACAAACGTATCTGAATTTAGGATGGCGCGTGAAGTTGTGATTAGTCTGGTACAATTCCCCTTTTTTTAACATGGTTTCTTGCGTCAAAAATTAGATGAGTCGAAAACCGAAAAGAAAACACCCCTCTTTATAAAAGAGAATTTCAAAATTTTTAAAGTACAACTGACGAGTCCCCTCTGGTTATTCCTGCGGATTATCTTCTCCAGTTCAGCCAGAAAAAAGGGAGTCCTATATAAAAAGCACACTTTTATAGTTTTGCACCATCACATGTGTAATAAAGTTTAACCGCATCGTAATTAGCAATCATGTTAAGAGACAAGTGAAACGACTAACTCTCAAACTTGTCGGGCACCACAGCTGGCCATTTTTGACACCTAAAATGGAAACTGATACAAACTTTGGCTATTTTCCATCGATTTGGAAACTATGTAAGTTGGAAGTTTCAGTGTTCAACTGAAAATGCGCCTAAAACGAATATTCAAGCGGTGACAAGTTTTACCTTTCCTCGTGCGCCCTTCACAGCAATTGTTTATCTCTTCACTTAATTTTTTGTTGAAGATCAGATATGAATGTTGAACCTTAAGATTCATTTGACAAATTGACGTGGACATTGAAGAATGTTTCTCATAACTCTGAATGACGTTAGATTTGAACCAAACGATTTAAAATGGACACATTTTTCGTTGCTTAAAGTCCACCTACATATTTTTCTGTTTTGAAAGCGCCATAAACTTTTGAAATTCGAGATGTTCTTCTCTTACTTGCTAAGTGTGCCCTTCCATTAAGCGAAAAAGAAATGAATAATTTATTGGACGTCTGACAAGCCATTAGAAGCAGGTTGTTCTGACAGCTCAATCTAGGATCTGTGAGATCTCCACTGTTTTAACTTCTCTAAATAATATTTCCTATAAAGAAAACGCCAGCCATTCCTGGTGTTTTGATATTGTATCCATCATCCACGGATGTGGATTCCAAAATTTCCTCCCCTCCAGGCATCCCTAGCTACTTTCTCGTGCTTTTATTTTTGCAAACAGTAGCCATCGCGGAACCGGACGGTATCTAAGTACCGCATTGTTCTCCACATGTAGAATATAAACAGTTAATTTTATCACTCGTATTTAAAAGATCGCTATCGTAATGTAATTATTTACGACTAAACATAGGGCTTTGGAGCAATCTAAAACCAGTAGCCAAATTTTCAAAGCTGGTAGCCTTTTTTTATCCTACTTATTCTAATGAAGGCTTTGTTTTAACCACAGAATAGTTTAAACTATATAAAACAGTTGTTTTTAAGCTCTAGTCGCTCCGTTTAAAATGAGATATTGCAGTTTGAAATCAAGGTTATGATAAACTGATGTATCTTTTATTATTTTTTAACACTGTCAGTATCAAAATACCTCAAACCGGAAAATTCTTAATCTCGTATCGTAAAAATAGCGCCATAAAATAGTACCCTTGGAGAGGTTCCATTTGAATGGCCACATCTTTGGATTAGGTCATCTTCTTATACATTTTGGACTCTGGGATTCAACGCTTTAACGACCTGCTGGAAGATAACTGAAAAGAAGAAGGAAGTTTCGTTCTAGACTAATAACCTTTTTTCCTGTGTAGGAAATGATCCTTCATAACAAAAACATCCAATTTGATATCTTGATGATGCTGTAAAATTCCTAATGTAATCAACTCCATTTGAACCATAACCGTATATTTTCCTACTCAACAGTTTTTATTAACTTTTTAGCCTTTTTCTAGAAGATAGGCTACATATCTGGTTATCGCAATAGGTACACAGGTGATTTATAATATATAACAAATGTGTTGCTTTCAGAACAAGCTTTCATCAGTATTTATGGTTAAGATTGCATTCTGATAAGCGCATGCTGACGATAAAGAAAATCATTCACTACCATCGTACAAAATTAGTTTTTGGTAATAAAATGGTTCCACAAAAATGATTCATTGCGTAGTGATGATGTAGAACCACTGTCCAGTTTTCAAAAGCGGCTTTCATGAGATCATGATAAACGCCTATTCACGATAAAGGAATCATAAACATCCGTAGCGGAGCAAAATAAGCCTTTTAGTCGAATGCGTGGTTGCACTTCAACGTATCAATCTTGAAGCTAAAAGAACGACAGACTTCCGCCCGTTTTTGTTAGAACCAGAAGTTTATAGCGTCGAGAAGTATAGTTTAAATTAAAACAAACTGTAACAAAGTTTCCCTTTCTTTGCAAAGCCGGATGTTTTCATTTCGGTGCACAGGTTGTGTTTTTAGAAATGTTCCTGTTTTGTCGAGTGTCCTGAGCCTTTTTGGGGGGCCGCTTGACAGTATGGGTTACCATTCAAGGTGCACAATTGATAAAGTTACTATCAACTTCAACACACCTTTTAAGGAAATTTTTGTTATTTTTATTGGAACGGGTTTATTGTGTCAGGCGTGTCTTACGGAACGGTGGGTTCACCGAGAAAATGTTTTACTACGCTGACCTAAGTACCGTGTTCTTTTATGTATGCACGCCTTCCTAACTTCAGACTTAATGTTTCAAAAGCAAAAACAAGTGGTTCTAGTTATCAAGCATCTATGAACCGTACAGTGGCATATTATCAGGTTAATTCCATTTTAGTTTGTGGAACATTTTTTGTAGAAAGCCTAGTAAATTCAAATTCGTGTTCATTGTGAAGAGTTCATATCAAGAAAATAAGTTAATGTTTAGCGTATTGGTGTTTTAGCTAAGTCTTTGTTGTATGTGGGGTTTGAGTTAAGCTTATGAATTAACAAGACGCGGGCTTTCAGCAGTTATAAATATCTATCAAGTATATAACTACTTACTAAGTAAGATTTTCTTATGAATCATAAACAGTACTCTGTGTCTGGTAACATCTGCAGTTTTGCCTGTCAATATAGGGGCGGGTGACCATACATGTCTTGCAGGTAATCCATGAACACTTTTAATTCCATTTAACGTTTGAACGAGCGGTTCATCTACTTGCTATAGATGGGAGTCTGAAATCTCAACAACCTGCCTTAGCTGGAGTAGCACACATGGTAACAGCTTAAGATAAAACCCGTATAATTTAAATTGCAGTCATGTTTCAGTTTAAGCTCACCTCATTTTTTTAGAAAGTTGTTTAACGTTGGCGCTCCCAATTTTTCAAGATCCCTACTTGAATCAGTGTTATTCGATAATTTACAGTATCTTCGACTACGACTTGAGCTGAGACTATTCGACAGAAATCTCAACAACTAAAGATTGAAGGCAAGGCTGATTGGATAGCTATGGATGGAGAAAAATAACCTTCATCAGAGGCGAAAAAAGCTAAATCTCAACAAACTTCCATAATTCGTCAGAGTTATTACCTTTTATAAAGTCTCATGAGATATCTTTGCCTGGGTTTATACAAAGAGAGACTTTGCTTCCTAATAGAGGCTATAGTATGAACGTAAGGACATACAGATTACAAGTAAAAAGGTCATAACAATATTTCTAGTCCAAATGTAAACCCCTTTACTCTTAAGAGTTCGAAAGGTACTTTATGACCCCAAATGTGATTTTTGCAAAATACTGAAAAACTATAGTACCAAGTTAAACATTACCTGGAGCGATATCATTTGAATGATCAAACCACAGGATTTCGTCGAGAGACTCCAATAAATTTTTGTCTCCCTAACTTGCCCTTGGAAGTTTTCGTTTTACATTGAAATGATTATTTAAAAGATGTGTTTATATCGACATGAAAGGAATAATAATTCGTCTGTTTAACCCTAAGCTAAAATTACAAGAAACGCAGTTAGTCTTCTTTTGAAGTGCCCTAGGCGTAGATATTTTTTATTAAATTCTTACTCGACTGATTGGAAACAACACATTCCTTACACCTGTGTTAATGCTAAAGGGAACGGCTTATTTACATAATCCAATTTACTGTCAATAAACGGTATGGCTTTGTTTTTCCTATAGCTGCCAGCATACAATAATGCGGTAAGCGTATGTCGCTTTGAATTTACAAGTTTACCCCTGATATGAGTATAAATATAAGTAATACATAGTTAAAGAATTGGTCTTTATTTGGAACAACAGTTTTGCCAGCTTTTGCACCTGTGTGTTTGGAACAGTGACAGAAACCTTTATGCGATTTCAAATCTATTTGTCTAGCATCGCCAGAAAGTCTCTGTCTTGAATAGTTCGTCGCAGAGGATATTCTGGTCAAATACATATCGAAGCAACTCTGATCGAATCGGAAGTGTAATTCAACCTTTATATCGACTTTTAAGTTTCTTTAATGGCCTTGGTATCTTTTCCCTTGTCAATCGAATTGCTAAATCTGATATCCATATTAGCTGAAACTGAAAACTTGAGAGCCCTCCCCATTTACTCTAATTTTAAATCAAGAAAAATAATTTTTGGATACATGTTGTTTAGATACATGCCAGTGGCTCAGACTATAACAAAATCCTTTCTTTTTTTTTCAAATTTTCGGTTTAGCAAAAAGTGATGGCCTTCACAGAATGAGTCTAGAGAGGACAAAAGCTGATCGGGGACACTGGTGTCTTCTTCACTAGAAGAGATTCAATTTAATAGTTGCAACATAAATGATACCTTCCGGTAATATTTAAATAGGCGCACTTTATTAAGTGGCTTCCTCAATGATTTTATCTGGTCATGACTGAATTTATAGATCCGGGTAATGGCTTCCTCGAAGGCGCTTATCAATGGTGTTCAATTAGTGAACGTCAATGTACCGGTTGATACCATTAACCAGCATCGGCAGTTCATAGAGGCACGAAACAAAGAAAGCGAAGACAATACACTAGGGCACAAGTAACAATTTGATAATCCGAACCAGTATTACACCATTTCAAAATCGAACCAAGATTACAGTGCAAACTCGAATGTGATAAAGTTTGTTCTCAAAACCTCACGTTTCGAAACTGCATCATCATTGTGTTCACTTTAACCCAGATGTTAAATGTGGATTTTAATTCATATTTTGCATGGACCATATGCTTCCCCAAGCCGCCCCTGTGTCTGTCAATGCAGCCTTCCTTATTTTTCGGTCGTAATGTGTCGATATAAAGTTACTGTGACATCATTTGAGATGTTTATCTTGTGTGGGCCGGTTTGGTGATGTAGTCTCCTTTTAAGCTCTCCCTTCTACAAGACAGGAAACTTGCGTTACGACAGTTTACAGATCTCAATCGTTGTATTTATTTAATTTTGCAACTTTGTTTCTTATTTTTCGTTAATCTCGTCTTGCTCAACTGTTGCTTTAACCAGCATCTCTTAAGTTTCACCGAGAAATGCCACAGGTGCAATTAAACCCAGCTCTCGCCGAAGAAACCAACCTATGCTTTGTCTTTTTGCATTCATACGCACTTAGATAGATTCAAAAACATCATTTTCATTTTCTTTGTGTTCTCTAGAGTTGAAAACGTGCTTTTAACGGCATGTATTAAGTTACATCAAAGGAACGTTTTAATGTTTCATACTCCTTCTGTTTTCAAAGTTTATTTTTAAGATGGAAAAACATACTTCCCAGGATTTGTTTTTCGCGGGATTTAGTTTAAAGAAGTGTTAACATTTTAATAATCCTAATTCTACATAAGTCTTTTTCTCTGCTTTTTTTTTTTATCAAATCCCATAATAGAACGATTTCCTCAAAAGTATTTAACTATGTGTTAATAAAATTTTAGACTGCTGCCTGTTAGAATAAAGATCCTGCATAGTTCCCCTTACACTGTTACGTTTTCTGCTTTCAACGGTGCAAAATAAAACCTAATGTCCAATCGCCAGAAAATAACCCAAGACAGCAAAATTACATCGGCATTTGCTTGGTGCGAATTTTCATATAATGCAGTGAAAAATTTGCGCTGAAAATGTTTATGCACTTGGACGAAATTGTCCAACATACACTAGCATAGGTAAACGTTATCTTATTTAATTTTAAACCCTTTATCTCAGAAAACGACGTCTTTTTACTGACTTGCAATTCTGTTACAAGGGATTATTTCAAGTCAACACCTTCTCTCTGATTTTGTATTGAAGACTAGAGACTTAAACTCAAGTTTAACAATTCTGTAAACAAGTAAAAGCTTCTTCCGAGTAGTTTGCTCCCGATATCACATAATGAACGAACCGTAAATTCGGAGAGTATAGTGGTAAATAATGAAAACTACATCTCGAAAATATCAATTTCGTCGCTGTTTTTTAAACGAACTTATTTTAGTCAGTGTTCAATGATATTATTGCGCTTTTATCTTGGCTTCGGACTTTTGGGCGTTATAGCCTCTCAGACAAGATTAACTCAAATTTTCCTTCTTGTCGTTGTAGATAAATTCTAGCCTCTTCAAGAGAAAAGTCAAGAGAGTTTGTTGGGGTGTCTGGGTGGGTTTCGTGGGTGAATAAGCTCGGTTGTTGGCACGCTACAATTGCGGGCTCTATGTCGCGCAACTGACCCCGGCTCCGTAACTGATCTACAGGTTCAAATCCGCGAATTAGACACTGCTAACTTATCACAGACTAAGGTACTCCAAAACTATTAGTAACCATCGGCGCATCTACCACCGATTTTGCAGAACCCCTAATTTCCAATGATGTAACATTAGTTAAGGGACTCTAGTGAAGCTTGGTTATTCGACAACAACCTTCCCTTTGATAGGATGGCGAATGATTGTAAACAGAATATTGCAACAGGAAAAGAGTCTATAATATTGGAAGATTTGGGAATCCCTATTAAACCCCAGCTTTGGCTTTTCCTTAGTAAATCAAGCTCATCATTTTCTCCACAATGGTAGACTATTGAAGTGATAGGTGAATGAAAACCAGAGATGGTCGGGATTAATTCAACGATTTCGTGTCTAGAGAAGTAAAAGCTTGCAGAAAAACCAAATGTAAGACACTGTAGTCTTTTCATTAAAATCTGAATCGAGTTCGGCCCCGTCGCGTTGTCATGTTTCTACATGATTGTAAATACCTTCAAACAAAACCTTGGGATCCCACTCTCTGTGGTTTTAGCTTGCGTGTTTCATAATATGCATGCAAAACCCGTTAGGTGATATTCCTTACTAACGCCTTCGTGCGTAGCTCAAAACAACTTCGCCAGCTTGAAACCCTGGACCTCAGCTATAGATTGACGATAACAAGGTGAAAAGAATACGAACATCTTACCGTTTGTGACTTGTCCGTTTTGGAAACCGATAGTGTCTGTCCACCAGTACAGTGTAGCCTTAGCTTAGCGGGGCGGCTGCTCGTTTGAGCGTTAAGTCCCTTTGACGAATCGGTGTCACCTGACAACCAAAGAACACCCTTCAATCAACGTACTTGGTTTTCAAGGATAATAAATAAATGAGGTATGGCTATTAATAATGACACGTTTAAGCTTGAAGGAGTTGTTTGGTCCCTTAGCTAGCCTCCGTGTTTAAGCTTTCAACTCCCCAAACTTGCCTAAAATAGAATTAAAATTACAATATCGAGATAATCGTCGTTATTACTAGATTTACAAAACATGGATCGAGTTTCGATCCATTCGTGTGGCAGACTATTATGTTTTCATATCGGATGGCTCACACATTAAAGGAAAACTATACACTTTAATAGATTGATGCGTGTTCCTCGTTTAGATTAAATGGTTTGGAATTCGAATGAAAACAAACCTAGCAAAGTACGAATCTTTTAGATGTTTTTTGGGATAAGAAATATACAGTGACTAAGAATTCTTTCCGTTTTCCACCCGGGAAAAGTTGAAGAAGTAACAGCGATAACAGCGCCATGCGAACACCTGACCGGTTACTCTTTTTATAATACCCCGTACGTTTTATTCCCAACGACCTCGATCGACCGAGCGTTTTCATAACAACGTATGCCCCAACAAATCTAAAGAGAGATTGTAAGAGTATGTGGCTTAACCTGGGCTCACATGGTGATAGAGTGGTAAAGAATTATCTAAGATAATCGTCACTTTCACAAGTCTTTTCATATACTGCGATTTGCGTTTCAAACCATTTAGTACGATTTGACATTTGTCGTGAGTGAAGAAAATGAATACCTGCTCGGTAAAAATCAACGCGCGGGTGTAAAGTATGGCCATCTAGAATTACCAAGGGGACATTGTGTCTCCACTTAAGTATCCGATCTGTCAGCAAGCCTCTACAATAATTTTTTTTGTATCAGTTTAAAAATGCCAAACAGGCCTGAAGGGAAATACCACAAAATTTGATACCTTAAAGAAATAAAACAAAACATATCAACCTTTTAAGGAACACGTGATCCTTGTGTTGCCTAGGTGGCGAATATGACCGAAATTTCTAGTGTTTGGAAATGGGAAAATTGGGGGAGGCTGATTCCTGTATCTATTAAGATATTACGTGTATAATGTTTTCTTTTCCTAAAAGGATTGTACGCATTCTTCATTCTGATTGTAGGTGTTGATCATAATTTTGACAATAGTAAACGAAAGAAATATTTCCCAGTATATGTTGTATTTTCATTTTCTTTATCTCGCCCTGTTTGACATTTGCCAGCTGTTGAATAAGGAAAGGAACGCCAAGTTGCTTAACGACTGGGTCTCTAGGAAACACTGAGACAGATAATTTGCAAGGTCAGGTCTTCTCTTGGAAATCAAAGCACATGTTATTTTCCTGTGCAAGTGCAATATAATAAGTCCTGCGGTCGAGAATGACGTTACAAAGTATCACGAACCTCGAACGCAGGTTACTCACGCGGTTCACCTTAACTGGAGTGCTCTGCCCTAGCATACCTCCGCCTTACTTTACAAAGATCCAGCCTGCGTTATAGACGTTCTACATTGTCTTACCTAACTTGAACTCACCCTGAGACCTTCTCGGCCCTGCAGTTCCCTGCTGTTATTTCTACTTCTGTTGTGCGTGAGGCCCTTTTAAAACAGTTTCTTGATTGAGAGTAAATCGAATTATCACACGCAGCGTCAAGACATTTACCAGGCATGTCGTGTTTATGATAAATTTTTTATCAAGTTTAAGGGGATTACCTTGTAGTTGTTTGTTCGTTGCCTTGCGATCACCTCGTTAGCATTCCCGAATGTTTTTTCTGCGATACCTTTAACGTTGTAAAAGGGGTTGTACTGCTAAAGTAGCTAATACTTGGAATTGGTGAAAAAACTCCTTTATCATTATCATTATTATTATTATTATTATTATTATTACTTTTTAAGTATCAAAAACCCACCGCACCGAGAGGCGCCTTCTTCCGAAAATCTGATAAATTTTTCCACTGACTAAAACTGGAAATACTGTTATAATTAAGTGGGAAATGGAAATAGAATAAAAGGACTTTGTCAGCAAATTTAATAAGTAGAGCCTAGTTATTTTTATTGAGTCATTTCCCCATAGTTTCCTTTAAGATGTATACTTGAACGGAAACAATTTTTTGCAGCGGATAATAACGTGATCCGACAAGGTTTAGTAACGGTATTTTGATGAATTCCATCCGGCCTTCATCGCAAAAAAACAAAACACCTGGTGCAAGCTGATTTCGCTTTACCAGCGAAAACGCAATAACAAGCAACGTTTTTTAAAAAATTAAAATACCTATTTATACAATAGTCAATTGGATGAACTACCGTATGGGGATAATCCGTATATATGTATTTAACTCAGATGAGCCTTCTACAAAATGAAAAGGGCCTTTCATTCACATCAACAAGTGCACACATATTCAAAATATCCATAGCACTGCTACAACTCTTAATGGCATGACTCAATCCTGCTAATTTTCCCTCAAGTTGTGTCATTAATTCGTAACCCATTGTGTCATCAGTCTGGGTCAGTGAATTATTTGTTACAAACGGATGTTATTATAGAGTCTTAACCAAATCAGGAACTGTCTGATATGGTTTAAAATATATTGCACTTTACCTGTCTAGCTCCATATTATAGCTGATGGGTTCTGTGTAATTTGGTTTGAAACCCAGAAATAACCAGTCTAGAGTTTAGCTACAACTTCACGTTTTTGTCAAAGGCAAGTGTATTGAAACCACAGCGCAAATAGATATGAAAAGGCTGAAATATTCGGGATTTCTTTCATCGTATTCCCGAAACGTCTTGATTTAAAGAGTAACTCGTGGAAATCAGAATAAACCTTAGAAAGTCAAGAAAGACTAGACGTTGCACCCTCTTGGTAGATTTCTTGCTGGCTATTTTTTTTCAGAAGGGTTTTACAGGTATAAAGTTTCCTTTCAGACAAACTCCTTAAAGGAGCTTATTGTTATTAGCAAAATTGCAGATAATTCTTAGTTTAAACCAAAAGTAGGGATTAACGAATTAAAGAAGAAAACGAATGATTTACTATTTTTAAATGGAGATAGGAATCATAGCAAATAATCGTTCTGTTGACTTTTTTAATTTGTCCCCTTTATAAACAATAGGCCGTCACTTAAAAACGGTTTGATTTTACGAATAGTGAAAGCTACTTTTTCCGCTTTCATCAATACTTTAGATTTTGTATTCATTAATACTTATCAGACAAGATGTCTGTTGATATTTTTTGCACCAGGTCAAAGTATAGACCCCGACTCCTTGTAATAGAGTTGACATGAAATAATTTACCTGATTAGCGTGCACTTTAATTGATATTTACCGAATTTTAACTATGTCTTGGTCTTGCTCAGCAAGCATCCACATCCTCATAAACCCTTATAGCGTTAGAACTGATCAGCATCTAATTTTCTCTTTACATTATCATGGCGAAATCAGTTAATGAAGAAAATCTTGAATTGAAATATAAAGACGTTATGGAGTTTGGATGTGGAATCTGCATTTTGGGACCCAGCATCTCTCGCTTTTTTGGAAACGTTTTGTGTTGGCCTAGATAGAAATAACCGAGTAAAAGATAAAGTAAAGATGTGATAAAATTCTTAACCCAATTCATGCACCAAACTGAGTGGAAAAACCGAACCCCATTATTGGTAAATTCACATATTTCGTTGGAATGAAATATAGTGAGAGATAGCGTGTTCAACTTTGATTGTTTTGTTTCTTAAACAAAAACAAAACCATAGAATGGAAATTTTCTGGGCACCTGTAATAGGTTTTAGAGTACTTCACGAGATGTTTTGGCGTTTAAAAGCATTTTTGCCCTACGGTCCTTTATTTAAAATTAATTACTAGGGGGTGGTTCTTCGAGTCTTTCAATGGCCATTTGGTAACCGAATAGGCTTGCTTTGTTTTCAAAGATGTGAACCATTTTGTAAATGCGACCAAAAATGTATCTTTAGACGAATTACATAACTTTGATTTCTCGTAGCTTTTTTTAGAAAAGTCTCCATAAGTTTGTCATACGATTCATTTCAGCATTCTTTGATTTCGTTTAGATGTAGCGGCTCAAGTTAGTTCTCCATAGCTTATTACTTCTCTTCATAGCATCTGCACTTAAAAGCCATATCTATTTCCAGAATCAAATTTACGCGTGCAAAATCATACCACCAGTTAACCCAATTCCAAAATGGTGTTATGTAATATTTAAATGGAGGGTATTTTTTGTTAATTACCGACCTTATAGGGGTATTTTACGGAGGCTTCAGGCAATTATTGAGACCTTTACACCCGTTTTCCATCTGAAGAAATCAAAGTTCTTTTTTTCGAATCTGGGATATATCCTCCTTGATCCTTTTTACGGTAAACAAATTTTTAAGATACATGCACAGGGTGATTTAGACTGCAGATTTTTTAAACATGGTTTGAAACTCACTTTATGGTACGAATTTTTTTACGATTATTTAGTCTGCAATTCAGGCAAATTCTTTTTTGCAAAGATTCAACAACCTGTAATAAACCAACCAAAAAACAAGGCTTTAACTCCTTAATTATCACATCTTCAGCGGTAATGGCTGGTTGGAACCTGTAGCGCAGCACGCTCCTGTTTTTAAGCCCAACTTGATGCTAACGAGTTTGTTTTTTAAGGAAAAAAAAACCGTGTGCTCACTGGTGTGTTTCGCTCTCACAGAGTGAATCATTTATTCGATTAGACTTCCTCAGCTTATTTCTCGTTAGTAAATTTATTAGCGACCGCAAATACATTCTGTTTCTCTCAGTTTTTGGTTACTAGGGTGAAGTCCGAATTGAAGACCTCCTGCGTGTCTTTTTATTGAATATGAATAGCCGCCAACATTGTCTAGTAGTGCTCTCCTGTAGATTTTAGACCGGTTTGTTTGCATTCCTTTCGGATCAGTTTTTTTATGAAGGTTTTGACATAATTCATGCTCGTTTATACAAACTACGTAGTGGAACTTACGCAGCGCATCAAGAGGTCGACAGGCAGATAACAAATTAAATGGGTGCGAGAAATGTAAATGCAATGATCTAAAAGGAATCCTTAGTTATGCTATTGACTGTAAAGCATGTATTTTAAGTGGATATTTCCTGAGCACTTTTTAATCTCTATTTTGAAAAAAAAATGCTTTAAGGAA